AAATAACCAGGCTAAAAATGTTCATAGATTCTTGAGGTGGAGGAAGTTGATCAGATTAGTCTTAGTAGCACAGTAGCATATGAGAATAGGGCATACTGTCTATCTCCTGCACTAGAGTAAGCTACACCAAAGATGTAGGTCTACTATAACCAAAGATGAGGTCTACTGGACTAACCACAATGCCCTCCAATGTTTAAAATACTTCCTGGGGAAAAAAAAAAATAAAATAAAATAAAATACTTCCTGGTACATAGAAAATGTTCAATGGATATATAGTAAATAAGAAAAGAAGACTGGAAAGCAGGCAGGCAAGAGTAGAAAATAGAAAAAGAGAATAAGTACATTACAGCTACGAAATAGTAGAGCTAGATTCTAGTCCAGATCTATCTGACTCCCAGATCAATGCTCTTGATCACCAAGCAGGATTGCTTCCCACTCTTCACAGGATTTCAGTAGATGTTTGTTGACAAAATTCTTACTTCAACTTTGCACAATACCGTGTAACAAAATTACAGTAAGCATAAAAACCAATGGATATACAGCTGAACATAACAATGAGAATTATAGAAGAGTAAGTCATCAGAGAAAGAGAGTTTTTGTCTTAATAAAAGAATATAGTCAAAGAGATGGCACCACATACTATCCTTGTTTTAGAGGACATAAAGAAAAGACGTGAAATAATTAACTCCACTACAGGATGTGTGTATCACAGAATGTATGTGTGTGTGTGTGTGTGTGTGTGTGTGTGTGTGTGGTTTTCAATATCAAATGACTTTGACAGTAATTAACGGGCTAATCAGTGATGCATAAACAATACAAAAATAAACAGATGGCAGCAATCTGATTGTTATGGAGTGATACCAAGTTAAAGTGATGATCACTTCTAAATCTTTTATGCTTTTGGTGCTAATGAACTCATATTCTGAAGCACCAGTATCTTCAGTCAGATTACCTAGAAGGCACGTATTCACAAACACTCTGTAACCTCTGACTTCTTGAGGAGTTGTCACACAATAGAATAGGAGAACCAGCATGGCAGGACATGTTTTTCAGGTTTGGTGTAGGTATTTTGAAAAGCCTTTGAAAACCACTAGCACTTATCTTCTGAATATTTTTGGCTGCTGCCACAGGTTGTAGGATTCATGGGAAAATGGGCAATGTCCCCCTTTAGTGACATGGGACTACTTTGATAAAACACTTAAATAAATTGCTAGATATCCATTTCTAGTCTGGAAAGTGAATCAGGCCAGTACTTAACTTTTCCACCACTAAATGATGATTCCAAACACATATTTAGCACAGCACATTTTGTTAGTGTGGACCTTAAATCCAGATTGCTGCCAGAGACAATCATCTGGGGTTTCTCTTTATGAGTAAAATTTTCTAAGTTTTGCTTATATGTATGATTATGTCTGTATGGGATAAAGATTATAGCTAATGAGATCAAACTGAATTATTAGTTGGGTATATCTATCCCTGGTAGTAATTCTGAGCAAACTCCTACAAATATTCAGTTGTCCTAGGGAAATCAGCTTAGCAATAATGCCATCTCCTTTAAGATAATTTATCATCCTGAAAAGGTATACAAATAATCAATGAGTACCGTTGACTAGATTATTATTATGCCCCAATTAAATGTAAGTTAATTTTCTTCATTTAGTAATTCAAATATTTGTTGAATACCTACATTTTACCAGACACTAAATTAGGAAGTAGAGAAACAAAGATGCCCCAAACCCAGTCCCTCACCTAAAAGAGTGACCTAGCATGCAGGCTAACAGAAGAGCAAGTAATTGTAATTTAAGGCAGTTAGTGTAAATGCTCAGTTGTTCTAGCTTTTTGTAATGTTTTTCTACCCCAATCCTCCGTTTACTTACCTGGAAAGAAGGTGATTGGTGGGACCACGCCTATGGTTCATCTTATAAAGGTACATGCGAATCTTTCTAAATGTAGAATATAAATGTCTTAACACAATAACTAAGAAAATGCCATGAAGGCTATGTTAACCAGTTTGATGAAAATATTTCAAATTGTATATAAAAACAGCACACTGTACCCCATGACTATATTAATATACACAGCTATGATTAATTTTTAAAAAAAAAAAGAAAATCCTATACTTCTCTAGCAACTCATTTCAAATGATTTTTTTTTTTCCAGTGAAGGCTGCTCTGGCCTTCTTCATCTCCTCCATCCCCCAACCTTAAACACATACACCCAAACTCATTCTGTCAACTTTAATTATATCTCTATTTTCTCATAGCACTTTTCATAGTTTTATTATGGAACTTGTTAGAATAATTTATACCTGGTTGTTTATATGTCTATGCCTTTCACTATATTTCAAGTTTTTCCAGAGAAGTAAATGATTTTTTTTCTATCTCTGTATTCCTAGCTATTAGCAGACAACCAGGCATACAGTAAGACCCCCCAAAAAGTTTAGTTTGGTGAAAGGAGAGAGAGCATAAGCAAACATATAAAAATCAAATTCTAGATAAAATGTTATTAGAACACATAAGAAGGAGTAATTAATTATAATGAGATAGTTTCACAGACAAGGTGGCATTTGAGATGACCCCTGAAAAATGAGTAGGATTGGACAGGTGGAACTGAGTCTTGGGGAGAGGAGAGGGAGATGATCAGGACATTTAAGGCAGAACTTAAGAACTGCAATGTAACCTAAATATTTAAAATAAAAAGATTTTAAGACTTGCATTCACTGAGGCAAAATAATGCTGTTAATTATACATGTTCCTTATCTGTTCGCAAGCCTGGCAGGTAATCTACTTGTTAACATTTTAACAGACACTTTGAACTATGATGCATTTTAGAAAATAATAATACAGTGTTATCCCTTCCCGAAAAGCTGATCATTTCTTTCATTGTCTCCCCACCACCACCACCACCACCACCACCACCAAACTAGCTCCATAGTTAGGCTAGGTGGGTAAATTATAAATTCTCATTCTTTGACCTCAGAATCCTATATTGATAAGGATTTCTGGTTTTCTTATATTTCCCAGGGATTCCAGAGCCAGTGAGTAGACAGACTGTTACAAGAAATTATTTAGGGCATTGGGGCCCAATCCTTCTAAAACTACCTGTTTCCTTTGGGAGTCATTCTCCAACCACCAGAGAAAATCACAGTGCAGAGTCCATGATTTCTAAAGGTCCCTCCCAGCTATAACATTCGCTAAGAACTTGTCTCTCTAGCTGGAGAGTTTGGGAGTCCAGGAGAGCCTTGTTATCACTATGTCAACTCTCCAACCAAAGGATATTTGGTGCCCCATGTTTGTTTCCTTGATCATAGCTATAAGAAGGCTATTTCTTTCCTTTGGATATACCTTTGTGAGAGAGCACTGAAAGCTGGGCCGAGATAAAGGTAGCAGATAAGAATAACAAAAACTAATATTTTAGAAATAACGTTTCTAGATACTTGCATTTGCTTGTTCTGACCAATATTTTTGTGACCAAAATATCACATGTATAAATAACCTGGCCAAGCACATCCCTGATGTTTCCTTGAACTTCAGCAAACTCCTATTAGAACAGAGTTGCCTTTAGGGGTACAATTGGCAAAAGTGCATACTGGAGAGTAAGAGAAAAGCCATAGAAAGTTGTTTTTTTTTCCTATGGCTGTCAGTAGTCAAAGGAAAAGTTTCCCAAAATAAAAGTACTGTGTGCTCAGGTAACTTATAACACTATCTCTCCCAATAGTATGCGTGTGCATATATAACCCACTTCACTGTCTCTTGCCCAGTCCCCTCTACCTCTTTAATAACTACCATCACTTAAGATATGCTCTGTAGAAATCTGCTCTATTCTATCAAGCCCTGTCTTCTCCATAAAGTATTTCCTACCGACTTAGGCCACAGGAGCACTTCATTTCTTAAACTTTAGTAACATTTCTGATCTATACCCTTTAAGTCTTTCATTGTTTCCTAATTACCTAATTGGAGATGGTAAAGCATAGTGGCCAAAAACTGTACATCCTATATGACCTTAGACAATATATGTGACCTTTCGAAACTTCTTACTTATTAAATGGACCTATAAAGAGTCCCCACCTCATAAGGTTGTTCTGAATATTCAATGAGAATAATCTATGCCAAGTGCATATGACCTGGTATATGGTAAGTGTTCAAAAATTGTTGGTAGTGGTGAGTGGAGGTGGTGAAAGTAGTGATAATGATAATAATCAGCACCACTATCATCAGTCTCTTCCTTTACAATATACAGCTCTTCATACAAACAGCCTAAACGTTAATCTCCCCAGATTCATTGAATTTTCATATTATTTTGCCAACTACAGAAACCCTAGGAAGTTTTCCCTTGGTTTACATGCA